CCCTATCCCTAACCCAGAAGCTATGTCTTTTTATTCCTAGTTTTTGATTCAAAAGTGTAAACTTGCAAGAGCCTCATGTTATGGGTGGTTTTATGTCACTTTGAATCAAGCTAGAATGATCTGCCAATAGCACTATCAATTGAAACAATACTCCCATCAGATTGTAGGAAATTCTTCGAGGCATTTTCTTAATTGCCCCCTAAGGGCAGGACTACACCTGGGCAAGTGGCTCTCATTTGTATATGAAAGCAGGCTCAGCAAGCTATGGAGAGCAATCTTTTGTGTACATGCACGGAGAAAGTGTGTGTGTGTGTGTGTGTGTGTGTGTGTGTGTGTGTATTCTAAGCGCTGTTCTTTGTGTGTGTGCCTTTAAAACTAACCCTTTGGATAACCTTTCAAGGGGTTCATCCATAGAGACGACTGATTCTCCCTTTCTCAACAGCCACAAATTGCCTGTAGCTATTCATACAAGGCCCTATACTGTCATGTCACCTCCTGTTTTCATTGCACAGATCTTCTTTACATAACGATATTTTTGAGATTTCATAGGTTTACTTTTTTATCATATGTAAAAGGAACTATCCTACAGCAGATGTCATAGTCCTCCAGGTTTTACAGTATTTCCTCCCCTTATTCCCTACCAGTTAGGTGTAGATGTGCTTGCTTTGGGAAAAGAAAAGACTTTTCCTAGGGAAGTGTATTTCTCTCTCTCTTTCCTCCCTCTCTCTTTTTCTTTCTCTCCCTCTCTCACACATACACAACACAAACACACACAATTTGTTTCTTTTATGGCTGTTTCAAACACATTTGGTGTTATTTATTTGTGTTCATTCCCTCACCTGTATTGGCCTCCCACATTCTTCCTAGTTAAATTTTCCTCATTTTTTCCATTCCCTCTTCAAGCACCTATATTTTCCTAGATCCCTCTCTCAAGCTCCTCCATGAATACCCCTTCCCCATGTTGTGTTCATATTTTTCTGGTTTCTGTGGTGATAGAGTATAGATAGATAGATAGATAGATAGATAGATAGATAGATAGATAGATAGATAGACAGATAGATGATAGAGTTATATATAGTCTATATAGAGACATATATCTAGATATTGATATCTATATACATATATAGATGTATACCCATATATAAAGATATATATCTAGGTATACATATGTATATTTATCTAGAGATTCAAAGACAGGTTCCACACATAAGAAAGAATATGAAACACTTGTCTTTCTAGGTCTGGATCACCTCTATCCTTCTATATATTATTTCCAAGTTCCACCTATTTACCTTAAGATTTCATAATTTCATTTTTCTTTGCATCCGCATAGAATGCCGTTGCATATATACAACATTTTCATTATCCATTCATAACTGAAGGGCATTTAGATTGTTTCTATTTCCTAAATATTGTGAATAGGATGGCAAAGAACATGGCCAAACAAGTATCTGTGAAATAGGATGACAAATGCTTTGGGCATGTATCAAGGAATGTTATAGCTAAGAATACGGTAGGTTTGTTTTAGCTTCTTGAGAATTCTCTGCACCAATTTCCAAAGTGGTTACCCCAATTTCCAATCCCACTAACAGTGATTAAGTATTCCTCTTTGATCTCATTCTCAACAGTGTATGTTGTCAGTTGTCTTAGCCATTCTAAAGCCAGCCCTGGTACAGCTGAGGCTCACCTCCAATTCATGATCTCTGCCTCTTCAGCATACTTTTTGTGTTTGTGTTTATTGTTCATTGGTTTCCATTCTGAGGACCCAAACTCAAGGTTGCACACATGCTGATTAAGCACTCTCCCACTGAGCAACAGAGCCACTTCACTGCCTCAAACCTTACCTTAAATCCTTAAGTTTGTCCTTTGCCTTTCTTTTTTTTTTTTAAATCTTTTTTGAATTTGTAACACCCTTGCCTCATCATAACATGGATGATAGAACAAATTTTTTCATATGTCCTAGAACTAGAGGTATGTATCACCTCACCCAGGTAGAGATCCTGGCTTTTAATATTATCTATGTGTCACCATGTAGTTTGGGGCATTTCATTGAGACTCCTGTTTTCCCATTCAGTTCTTCATTCACCTTATTTCATTTTGTTTCTATTTAAAAACTACTTAATCCCACATTTCTTCCTGAATTTAGTAGTTATTTATGAAGCATAATGTTCAGGAAAACTGTTTTCCAGAGATCAAAATATATTCTATATGTCAAGAATGAGATTATAGGTGCTATTCATGAATTTCTTTCAATTCCTAAATTTTATTATGTCTTTTTTCTCTCTTGACTGCAGAGCTATCTGCCTAATCCTGTTCTCATAGTTTTATTATTGTTATTATTATTATTTTATTTCTGATATTGTTGATTTAGATAGTGTCTCTCTGCCTTTTAGTTAGTTTGGCTATGGGTTTTTCTATCTTGTGGATTTTCTCAAAGAACCAGCTCTTGGTTTCATTGATTCTTTGAATTATTCTCTTTGTTTCTAATTCATTGATTTCAGCCCTGAGTTTGATTATTTCTAGCCGTCTACTCCTTTTTGGTGTGTCTGACTCTGTCTTCTAACTTAGGCTTAGTCCTGGAAACTTCTAACCTCCATACAGTCTAATTTAAGCCTAGAATGTTTTCACCCTTTGGGACTTACTGCTGAATAAGTTCACCCTTTGTAGTTCTTTCTGAACTCTGGCTGGCTGGTTCAACTCAGCTGTTCTGGCTCAAACTCCTCTCCAAGCTTACTGATTCAATCAGGCCTCTCTCACTTTCTCACTGAATTGTTCTGTTTGGCCTCATTCTAACTTTGGCAATATTTTTTAATTCTCTGGCTCATTCTGTCTTCACCTGTGTCTGGTTTGTTTTTTCTTTAACCTGTCTCTGTAAAACTCTTCCGGTAAAACTACCTCTGAATTCCACAAACTGAACTGTCATGGACTCAACTCCTGCACTGCCTCTCAACTCACTGACTCAACTGAACTGACTGAACAGAACTGGTTAGTACTCAGAAATATGCATGTCTCTGTCTCCTAGATGTTGGAGTTACAAGTGTGTATCACCACACCTAGTTCTAAGTTTTTCTTCACCTGAGGCTTGCTCTATACCAGGCCTGCCTTGAACTCAGAGATCTCTTTGACTTTGTCTCCTGTGACTAAAGGTGTGCCTGTATTCGGAGAAGTTAAAAAACTTAAGAGTTAATTCCTGGGAAGGGGGCAAAATTACCACATCACAGTCCTTTTAGAGCAGGGGTCCAGCAGCAGTCTCCCGCCCAGATAAACCTTCAGGTGTGAGTAGCCCCTAAGAAAGCCCATGGAGTGTATTAACACCCCCTCCCCCTTGCTACAGCCTAACCTGGGGGTAACAGGGCAGTACTGGGGGTCAGGTGTCCTCCAAGTAGCCAGACCTGACCAGTTGCAGTTTTGGTGCCTAAAAACAAACCAATCATTTTAAAGGTCAGCTCCCCTAGAGACCCTTTCACCCAATCCTATAATACCAAGGCTTGCACTTCTCTGCTTGCGTTTTGCCCCCTTAAAAACGTTGTTCTCCCGGAGTTGGGGGTCGCTTGCCCCTTTGTTCTTGTAAAGGGATGCCACCCAGCTCGAGTTTGTAATAAAGACTCTCTTGTGTTTTACCTCAGACTCAAAGCCTGTCGGTCATTTGGGTATTTCAATTCCAGCCACAGTAGCCATGTACTGAATTAAAATTCCTCTACACTCTCTTCCTATTTTCTTTTGCTATTTGGTACAGTCTCACTAAGCAATCTTGGCTGGCCTCACACTTCCATTCTCCTGCATCATCATGTCTAGTGTTGAGGCTTCAGACAAGGGGCACTAGGTTGTCTTAGATTGATAGATATTGCACGTTAGAGGATTGAGAAGCAGATGCCTGATTGTACATGATTATTAGTGCCGGAGGAGCAGAGGAAATAGGGAGTAGAGAGAGGACAAGTACCAAATACAATGCAGGCTACAACCAGTCCCTTTACTCCACAGAATAGGATATCCCCTTGTATGAAGAGACTCTGCACGTGTGGCAAAATGTTAAAGAATTGACAGCTAGCAACAAGTCTAGTAATCATTGTTTTCTCACTGAAAAAGAAATAGCTGAGCAAAGCTTCTTTCATTTGCTTCCTATTTCCTAACATTCCACCCTACCACCGCGAAGCTCCACCCACCTGCAATAGCTGCAGCTTCTCTGCCCCTCCTTGAACCTAGAGCATTTCACCCAGGGACGGGAGACCTTGGGTTGGAAATGATTTCCTGGAGAGCAGCAGGGAATTCCAGGGTTTCCAGCACGCAGAGGGGAGACTAAAATAGGATGGGAGATTTCTTTGTTATCAGACTCCTACTAGATTCCTATGCAGTTGGAGGTGGGGGAGGCCCTCTATAGGGGGTGATGCAGAATAAGTTTCGTAGATGGACTAGAAGGGGGTATTTTCATCAAAGATCACGATGCTTATGAAAGACAATTCCTTCCTAAGGAAGAAAGAAAGGGGCTACTATCAGCTAATATTAACTAAACCGGCAACTTTAAAATTTTCCAGGAATATCCCAAACTATTGCTATTTGGCCCTGTGCATGTGCAATGCTTGTGCCTTCTGCCATTGTTTGAGAATCCCTACCAACTCAACAGTTCTCTTCATCAGCGGAATTCCCGTTGAGGTTGTGTGGGTTGCTCTCCACTCTTTGCTGGCCCCTGGGATCACAATGAGTTCACAATGCAGGGAGTTCACATTGAGTCCCAGGGGAACAGGGCAGGTACTGTCTAGCAAGCACGATGGGAGGAGGGAGGAGGCGGCCAGCCGGAGGAAAGCATCGGGGCCTAGCCTGACGCAGCAGTAGCAGAGGCAGTGAAGGAGGCCCCCGCCAGAGCTCCTGGGTTTCAGGATCCAGTCTGTTCTCCCCCTCCTCCTGCCTAGCAGGGTCGCGGGCGGGCTTCAGACGCCTTCAACCTCAAGCTCTAGCCAAGGGAGGTGCCCTTCGAGCTCTCTACGGAAAGGGGGCGGGGATTGGACCCTGTGAAGAAGAGAGGGAGGGAGGAGTGCTCTTCCTCTCTCTCTGCTGGCGGCCGCAGGCGCCCTGCTGCCGCTGTCCCAGGGCGGGGCTGCAACCAGAGCAGGGACTGTATTGAGAGCGTGTGAATGTCCGCGTGGACCAGGGCCGCGCGGGCCCCGCGCCTCCTACGGCTCGCTCCCGAGTGCTGCTGTGTATGTTCGCTTCTTGTCACTGTGTGCCCAGAGGCAGGAGGACTATGAAAATGATTCACTTTCGGAGCTCCAGCATCAAATCGCTCAGCCAGGAGATGAAATGCACCATTCGACTACTGGACGACTCGGAGGTCTCCTGCCATATCCAGGTGCGGTGGCACGGGGGAGTTTGCAGGGCGTGCGGTGTTCGCAAGGTGCAGGAGTGAGTGAGTGGGCTCTGAGGGTGGGCATACGGCGGGTAGGAAACCCATCTCAGCAGAGAAGCCCGGCTGGAATGCCAGATTTCCTTCAGTCCACAAGGTAGGTGCTTCGGCCCTCTGTAGTCATCTCCTGTGCTTTATCCTTTCCTCAGCCCCCTACCCTGACGTGCTCCTTGAGCTCATTTCGCGTTGCTCTTAGGCTGAAGTTTTAGGTAGACGTCTCTTGCTTGTCTCTGGGCTGGTCTCTTTGCAGTTTACCCCACTAGGACAGAGAAGCCGTGGAGCCAATGGGGACCCTTGCATACTACCTCCTTGGCTTCTTTCTCATCCACCACGTGGAAAAGGACTCCACCAGCCAGGGTTCGCTCTTGTTTCCCGCGCCCAGGCCGTTTGGGAACCTGCTTCTTGTGCCCTGCTGTCTCTCTGACGGTATTTTGTACTTCTCTAGTGTGGTAATGGACTTTTCCAAGTTTCCTAGAAACCCTGAGCTCAGCCTTGAAGGATGGGGTGCACGTTGTATTGAATTGGAGCTACCTCAAAAGAAACATGTGAAATCTGTGTTTCAGAGAAAACAAAAAGGTTCGTGAGGCTAGCAAACGGATCCTGCAGAAACGTGGGTCTTGGGTTACAAAGCTTGAAATTTTGGTGACTATTCACTGTGGTCAAGTTGGAGGAGAAGGCATGTTGCTTTGGATATTTATTGGCTGCTCCGTTCCTTGGGAGATAAGTGTCTTTGGCCTTGCAAACATATTTGTAAGCTGCTGTTGTTGCTGCTGCTGCTGCTGCTGGTGGTGGTGGTGATGTGTGTGTATCTGTGCACTCATAAACTCTTTTGTGTCCTTTCGCTGCGCTTGTTCAAGTAGTAGGTGTGAGCTTCTCCCATGACCTCATGTGGCATGCACATTTTGCAAAGGTTGTATCAGAGCTAAGCACTGTTAGCATCAGAGTTTAAAAATCGAATTAATTTATTTCTAGGATTCATTCCATTTACCACATCTTGAGGTTCTAAAACCCGTGGTGAATGGATTAGCACCTCCTAGAGGCAAAAATCTGCCTCTAGGTTGTTCCTGAATTAAAAAAAAAAAAAAGCATTTTTAATTAAAATATAATTACATTACTTTCCCCCTTCCGTTTCCCGCTCCAGCCCCACCCAAGTCTCCACTCTCTCCAACTTCTTCCAAGTTCCCCAACCATTCTTCAATGGACAGCCTCTTTTCTTTTATTATTATTGTTACATATATATATATACATATGTATACCAATGCATAAGTATTTAACTACAACCTGCTGAGTCTGTTTTTATTGTTTGAGTGTATACAGCCCCAGGACTAACCAGTTTGTATTGGATAAACAATGAAGGGATTCGTGCCTGGGAAAGGCTAATTCTCATTCTCTTTTACAGTCATTAATTGCTTGAAATTCTTTGTATAAGGGTGGGGCATTGTGAAAATTTCCTCCTTCTCGGTTATTATGCTTATTGATATTGCCATTGTTCAAGTCTGCTTTATGCCATTTCTATGAAAGATTGTTTCACAGTGGACATTATGGTATTCTGCATCTTGCAGTCTTTCTGCCAGCTCTTACCCAATGTTCCCTAAGCAACAGATGCAGGAGCGTTTAGGATGTATCCACATGCATTTCCCATGAACCTTGATCTCTGTATTGTATTCAGTTGTGATAGCCATTTTCTGTGATTGTCTCCATTTGCTGTAAAGAGATTTTTTTTTTTTAAAATGAGGGGTGGTTTCTACATTTGTCTGTGGGTATAAAAATAAGTTTTAGAATGTAGTTAGGAGTTATGTTGGTCTAGCAAAGTGGTAGGAGTAGATTCTCTTGAGATGCATTACCTCACCAGCTCTGGGAAGTTGGCTAGGTTTCTAGTAGTGTGCATGATTTACCTCCTGTTGAGTGGACTTTATGACCAACAAACAGCTGTTGTACCTTTATAGATATCTTTTCCGTCCTGCTGGTCATTGTCTTGGTTCCTGAGTGTCACAGCTCAGTAAGACTATTAATTATTTCCCCTCCTGTATGGGGTAGTTTTATGTCAAACTTGAAACAACCTAGAATTGTTTAGGAAGAGGGAGCCTCAACTGGGAAATTGCCCCATTTGATTGGCCTGTGGAAAAGCCTGTTGATTGATGATGAATATGAGAAGGCCCAGCTAGCTGTGAGCGGTGCCACCCCTGGACTGGTGGTACTAGCTTCTATAAGGAAGCAGGCTCAACAAGCCATGAGGCGCAAAATAGTATGCCCTACCATTCCATGGCCACTGCTTCAGTTCCTGCTTCTAGGTTCTTGGTCTGCTTGAGTTCCTTCCTTTTCTTCCCTCATTGATGGATCCTTTGTTGGAAACATAAGTGAAATAAGCTCTTTCCTCCCCAAGTTGCTTTTGATCATGGCTTTACCACAGCATTAGAAACCTTACTAAAACACTTCTGGAAGTTTTCATAGTGTTTTCTGGAATTATAGAAGTTAGAACACTGGAAGGAGACTTTCAGGTCAGATCCAGCTTAAATAAAGATAATCTGAGTCCTGTGTCCTAAGTGTGCAGTGTCTTCAGCAGTAGGGCTTACCTTCAACCTCAGAAAGGCAACAATGGCAACAAAAGTCTTCTATATTGTTTTGGGAATCTCTCTCTCTCTCTCTTTTTGGTGTTTCTCACAAACATTTATTAATGCCACATTGTAAATGTGTACAGCTATGTTCTGTGTTTCCATATAACAGAGCTTGCTTAAGCTTAGTCTATATGATTCATCTTGAGTCCACTCAGGGAGCAGTTAATGATGGCCATGTGCAGGTGCAGAACTGGAGCCTTTCAAAGCTTTACTTCTTTTATCAGCTCTCCTGATTTTATAAAAGAGGAGAGTCGTTAACCCCATTCCTATCCAAATTTCCTGGTAAATGTTTGCATGTACACCTAAACACCAGAAGAGGCACCAGATTTCATTTCAGATGATTATAAACCACCATGTGGTTGCTGGGATTTGAACTCAAGATATCTGGAAGAGCAAGCAGTACTCTTAACCTCTGAGCCATCTCTCCAGCCCTTGTTTTGGGAATCTCTTGGACCACCCTGACCAACCACTCAAAGGAGATTTCTCATATTTAATACTGTGGTTTTTGTTAGTCTACAGTTCATGTGTAGAGACTGTCAGCCCAAATATATATGTGTGTATGTGTATTACACATAATTTTAGGTAAATAAAAATAATACAGTTTCTTCAGGCTTTATCAAGTAAGCTTGGTATTTGTCACCCATCATTCCTTCTGCTTCTGTAATAACCTTCCTCTTCCCTTCCCAGGGGGGGCCCCCCCCCCCCCCCCCGCCCCTGCATTTTTTATTTTGAGCTTTATTTTACCTGTATGTTGCTGTTCCCCGCTCCAGCCCTCCTTCCCTGTGGTCCCATTATGCTTTCCTGTTTTCCATGTTGCTTGCTTCTGAAGATTTGAAGCTAGGGACACCAAATGAGAGAAAATCTATGATGTGTTTCTTGGTCTGTGTTAATTTACTCAATATACTCTTCCTCTTCCCTAAGTCCATTTATTTATCTTCAAATTTCCTTTTCAGCTGAATAGTATTCCATAGTATGTATTACCTCATTTACATTATCCATTCATCCATTGAAAGACGATTAACTTGTTTTTATTATTTCCTAGTTATTATAAATAAGGTGAGGAGCGTGACTAAGTAAGTATATGTGGAGTAGGATATCAGTTCCTTTGAACATGCACCAAGGAGTGATATAGCTCCATCATAGGAAAGATTTTTTTTTCTTTTTTTTTTGATTATTCTCCATACTGATTCTCAGAGTACCTGAGAATAAAATAATAAAATAAAATATTATTTTATTATTTTTATTAATTTGCATTCCCACCAATAATGAATAATGGTTACCTTTTACACACAGGCTCACCAGAATCTGTTGTCAGTTGACTGGCCGAGCTTAGTCATTCTGATTGGGGTGAGATGAAACCTCAGGGTTGTTTCAATTTGCAATTTGCATCTCTCGCTACTAAACTTGATACATTTTGGGGGTATTTCTTAACCATTTTTTTTTCGTTTATGTACTGAGAACTTTATGTTTACATCTCTAGGCCTTTTTTTTTTTTTCTTTAAATTGGTTCATTTCTTTCCTAGACTCCTTTTCTTTCTTTTTCTTTTTTTTTTTTTTTTTTTTTTTTT